AAAAAAAAAAAAGAAAACCAATTAGGAAAGTGTAGGTACATGTACAATAGGTGAAGACTGGGGATCAATCAGAAGAAAGCGTGCCAAACGGGAAGACAGATTCTCAGTCCAGTGCCTGGATTCGACTTGTAGCTTGACTTTCAGGCTTTAAACTGTCTTTGCCTTGGAGATGGGATTTCAACCGGGGACCCGCCCCTATGTGCCTAGGCATTGGCCTCCTGCCGCTGTCAATGTCAATCAAAAGCCTTCCCTGACCCTGCTGTAGCTGGGTTGGGCCCCCTCAGCCACTGCCTCTGTTGCTGCATTTCACCGCTGGATTCTCCTTGTCTTTTTGTCTGGCTCTTTCTGAACTCTGAGCTCCTTGAGGGCAGGAGCTGTTTGCATCCATCCTGATGTCTCTGTCACAATTCTGGGAACATTATGATGCTCAGTACTCAATTGGGGGAAAAAATAAGCCAGGAATCTCATTTAACTCCATCTCCTATGCACCCAGCATACAGCCATGAAAGTGGCTTGAATGGATGTTTTTTTCACTGTTAGATCAGATGACGGAGAAATATTTATAGTGCGCCTAGCATGGTGAGTGACACTGGGGACACCGCAGGTGACGACACAGACCCCATCCCTGTGCTGCCAGAGGAGGCGGAAAGCTGTGTTAAGAAATCATGAAGGCCAGGCATGGTGGCTCATGCCTGTAATCCTAGGACTTCAGGAGGTTGGCGGATCATTTGAGGTCAGCAGATCATTTGAGGTCAGGAGTTCAAAATCAGCCTGGCCAACATGTTGAAATACAAAATTCGACTGTCTCGACCAAAAATACAAACTTAGCCAGCCATAGTGGCACACACCCATAATTCCAGCTACTCACGAGGCTGAGGCAGGAGAATTGCTTAAACCCGGAAGGTGCATGTTGCAGCGCGCTGAGATCACGCCACTGCGCTCCAGCCCAGGCAACAAAGTGAGACCCTGTCTCAAAAAAAAAAGTAAAGAAAAAATTATGAAGGCCAGGCATGGTGGCTCACATTTGTAATCCCAGCACTTTGGGAGGCCAAGGTAAGAGGATTGCTTGAGTTCAGTTCGTGACCAGCCTGGACAACATATCAAGTCCTCATCTCTATTTTTAAAAAGAAAGAAATCTTGAAAGTGACTCACGCCTATAATCCCAGCACTTTGGGAGGCCAAGGTAGGCGGATCACAAGGTCTAGAGATGGAGACAATCCTGGCCAACGTGATGAAATTCCATCTCTACTGAAAATACAAAAAATTAGCAGGGCATGGTAGCAGGCACCGGTAATCCGAGCTACTCCAGAGGCTGAGGCAGGAGAATCACTCGAACTTGGGAGGCAGAAGTTACAGTGAGACAAAAGATCATGCTACTGCACTCCAGCCTGGGCAAAAGAGCGAAACTCCATCTAAAAAACAAACAGGCCCTTTTCAGCCTTAGCTCACCTGCACCCAGGTGAAAACAAACAAACAAAAAAATTTAAAAAGAGTTGGCCGGGTGCAGTGGCTCATACCTGTAATCTCAGCACTTTGGGAGTCTGAGGCAGGTGGATTACCTGAAGTCAGGAGTTCAAGACCAGCCTGACCAACATGGAGAAACCCCATCACTACTAAAAATACAAAATTAGCCGAGTATCTTGGTGCATGCCTGTAATCCCAGCTACTCAGGAGGCTGAGGCAGGACAGTCGCTTGAACCTGGGAGGCGAAGGTCACAATGAGCCAAGATTGCACTATTGTACTCCAGACTGGGCAGCAAGAGTGAAATTCTGCTTCCAAAAAAAAAAAAAATTTGTCTTTTTTTTTTTTTTTCTTTTCTTTTCTTCAGCACACCCTTTTTAAAGCATCTATCTTAAGAAGCTATTAATGGCCTGGCGTGGTGGCTCATGCCTGTAATCCAAGCACTTTGGAGGCCAAGGCAGGTGGATCACCTGAGGTCAGGAGTTCAAGACCAGCCTGACCAACATGGTGAAACCTCGTCTTTAAAAAAAAAAAAAAGGCCGGGCACGGTGGCTCACACCTGTAATCCCAGCACTTTGGGAGGCCGAGGCGGCTGGATCACAAGGTCAAGAGATTGAGACCATCCTGGTCAACATGCAACATGGTGAAGCCCCATCTCTACTAAAAATACAAAAAATTAGCTGGGCATGGTGGCGCGTGCCTGTAATCCCAGCTACTCAGGAGGCTGAGGCAGAATTGCCTGAACCCAGGAGGCGGAGGTTGCGGTGAGCCGAGATGGAGCCATTGCACTCCAGCCTGGGTAACGAGCGAAACTCTGTCTCAAAAAACAACAACAACAACAAAAAAGCTATTAATACAAATGCCTGCTTGTGAAGTTTAAATAAAAGCGAGCTAGGAAAAGAAGAGCTAATTGAACATAAGGGAACCAAAAAAAAGAAAAGAACAAAGTCATGCCAAAAGGCAATAAAATAAAAAACCAAAAAATAAAACTGAACAGAGTCAAACTGTGACACTTCGGAAAGGTCAGTAGCAGTGTTTAGCTTCTAGCAAGACCGTTAAGAGACAAGGAGTTAGACTTCACCAATTTCTGTTGTCAGGAGTGAAAGAAGGAATATCACTACAGACCCTACAGAGATTAAAAGAACAGTAAGGAAATATGAACAACTTTACACCAATACGTTTGACAACTTTGATGAAATGAGTACATTCCTTGAAGATACAATCATGCCAATTGGAATAAAGGAATAGTACAGGGCACTGTGGGAGAATTTAGCTAGGGGATTGTTCTAAGTCCAGAGGGTCTGGAAAGTTTTCCTAGAAGTGATACTTTTAAACTGAGACCTGTAGGAGAAGTAAGATTTGCCCAGGTTGATAGAATTGTATTCCAGGCTGGGGAAATAGTGTGTGCAAAGGCCCTGAGGTTGGAATGAGCTTTCTGTATCCAAAGAAAAAATGTCACTCTAATGACACTTTTTGGTGTTTGATGACCACACGCCACATCCTTCCTGGGTCCAAACCTCCATGCAGACCTGCTTAGCTTAAACAGAAAAGATAAATACAAACCCAGTAGTAAGAGAAACATGGAAGTTTCTGGGCTGAAACAGGAGGCAGTTTATCCTGCGAACTATATCACAAACTATATCCAGAATTGATCTGGAACTAGTATTCACTTTCAGGTGGCTGATCAAACTTCTGAGCCTTTTTCCTCCATGTAACTTTCCTTATGAGTACTCACTACCCACTAGGCATTGCATTTCATACTACAAGTTCTTTGAATCTAATCTCCACTACTCTTTTTTTTTTTCCTTTTTTTTTTTTTTGATACAGAGTCTTGCTCTGTTGCCCAGGCTGGAGTGCAGTGGTGCAATCTCAGCTCACTGTAACCTCCACCTCCCAAGTTCAAGCTATTCTTCTGCCTCAACCTTCCAAATAGCTGGAATTACAGGCATCTGCCACCACGCCCAGCTAATTTTTGCATTTTAGTAGAGATGGGGTTTCACCAGGCTGGCCAGGATGGTCTCGATCTCCTGATCTCATGATCCGCTTGCCTCAGCCTCCCAAAGTACGGGGATTACAGGTGTGAACCACCACACCTACCCTTTTTTTCTGAGATGGAGTTTCGCTCTTGTTGCCCAGGCTGGAGTGCAATGGCACAATCTCAGCTCACCACAATCTCTGCCTCCCGGGTTCAAGTTATTCTCCTGCCTCAACCTCCCGAGTAGCTGGGATTACAGGCATGTGCTACCATGCCCAGCTAATTTTTTTGTATTTAGTGGAGACAGGATTTCACCATGTAAGGCTGGTCTCAAACTCCTGACCTCAGGTGATCCACCTGCCTCAGGCTCCCAAAGTGCTGGGATTATAGGCGTGAGCCACTGCTCTCGGCCTAATATCTACTACTCTTAGCCCCATTCTGCAGAGCAGTATACTGAGGCCTCAAAGAAGGCAAGCCATGCCTGAGGTCACAGAGGCCAAGCCCTACCTACCATACGCTCTCACTCCTGCCGATATTTGTTTAAATGTTGGTGCCGGTTAGGCTGTGGTCTGTGTCTTGGGCGTGGGTTTCACAAACACTCCACTGCTGCCACCCTGTCTCATTCCCTGGAGTTCTTTTAGGATAGAGAAAAGGCTGGGCATGGTAGCTTATGCTTGTAATCCCAGCACTTTGAGAGGCCAAGCCATGTGGATCATGAGGTCAAGAGATCGAGACCATCCTGGCTAACATGGTAAAACCCCCGTCTTTACTAAAAATACAAAAATTAGCTGGGCATGGTGGCACATGCCTGTAGTCCCAGCTACTTGGGAGGCTGAGGCAGGAGAATGGCTTGAACCTGGGAGGCAGAGGTTGCAGTGAGCTGAGATCATGCTACTGCAGTCCAGCCTGGTAACAGAATGAGACTCCGTCTCAAAAAAACAAGGTGGGGGAGAAAAAAATGTGAAAACCACCTAACCATCTCATCCATTTTTTTCCCCTCTAATTTGAAGAACCACAGTCAGAGAGGTGCACGGGTCTGATGTGTGTTTGGGGAAGGGGTGGGGAGAGTAGAGAGTCCCTTTCACTGCCCAAGCCTGTGTGTGCAACTTCCTGCCAGTGAGGAAACTCAGCTTGAGAATCAGCCCTGGTTCTCCTTTCCCCGATCTGGCCTCACAGGAGGAGTTGGCAGGGAGCCTTGGGCCCCTCTGGCCTCAGCCGGATTTCCCAGCCAAACGCCGGGAAGAGATGCCCTGGACCATCTTGCTGTTTGCAGCTGGTGAGTCTGAAGCCCCCCTTTCAGTTCATCCACGCCTCTTCCCGCATCCCCTGTCCACCTTGCCACTCTGGGGGCAGAAACCAGTGCAGGGGCTGTCATTCCCAGGGCATCGAGGAGGCTGAGTCCTGGGCAGATGGGTTTGCCCATGACCCTCAGAAACTCTCTGGCAGTGTTGCTTTTTTCTTGTTAGGCTCCTCATTACCTCCAAGTTCAGGAATATCAGAAATTCTACCCCTCTGGAGTGAGCTGTGCCCACACCCCATGACTCAGCCTGGCTTGGTCTCTGAAGGCTCTTTGAGGGCTGGGGCAGCAGGAGGGTCTACCTAGGGGGATATCAGTGTGGCGGGGGTGCGTAAGGGTTGGAGGCTGGACAAGAGAAGGCTTGTGTAGACCTCACCTAGCCAGACACTCCGCTCAGAAGCCTGTGGGCAGTCGGGTGAGAGGCGGGTCCCCAGAAGACTTCATCCTGCAGGAAGCCATGTTCCAGCATCCATATTCCTCACCCCAGCCTGGGAAAGGAGATAAAAGTCCTTTGCCCTTCCTTCTCCTACCCTCCCGCTCCCTCACCCCCTCCCTCCTGCCATGATGGCCTCCTCGCTGCTCCATTTTTTATATTTATATTTTTATTTATTTATTTATTTATTTTAAAGATGGGAGTTTCACCATGTTGATCAGGCTGGTCTTGAACTCCCAACCTCAGGTGATCCGCCCGCCTTGGCCTCCAAAGTGCTTGGATTACAGGCGTGAGCCGCCGTGCCCGGCCTTTATTTATTTATTTATTTATTTTTATTTATTTATTTTTTTGAGACGGAGTTTCGCACTTGTTACCCAGGCTGGAGTGCAATGGCGCGATCTCGGCTCACCGCAACCTCCGCCTCCTGGGTTCAGGCAATTCTCCTGCCTCAGCCTCCTGAGTAGCTGGGATTACAGGCACGCGCCACCATGCCCAGCTAATATTTTGTATTTTTAGTAGAGATGGGGTTTCACCATGTTGACCAGGATGGTCTCGATCTCTTGACCTCGTGATCCACCCGTCTCAGCCTCCCAAAGTGCTGGGATTACAGGCGTGAGCCACCGCGCCTGGCTTATTTATTATTTAAGATGAGGTTTCACCATGATGGCCAGGCTGGTCTTGAACTCCTGACCTCAGGTGATCCACCCACCTCGGCCTCCCAAGTGCTGGGATTACAGGCGTGAGCCACTGCACCCGGCCCAAATTTTTTAATAGAGATGAGGTCTCACTCTGTTGCCCAGGCTAGTCTCAAACTCCTGGGCTCAGGCAGTCCTCCCGTCTTAGCCTCCGAGTGTGCTGGGATTATAGGCGTGAGCCACCGCATCCAGCCTAGGCTGCTCCTTAAACATCCCCCTCGGGCTGGGCACGGTGGCTCATGCTTGTAATCCCAGCACTTTGAGAGGCCACGGCGGGTGGATCACGAGGTCAAGAGATCGAGACCATCCAGGCCAACATGGTGAAACCCTATCTCTACTAAAAAATACAAAAATTGCTGGATGTGGTGGCACACGGCTGTAGTCCCAGCTACTCAGGAGGCTGAGGCAGGAGAATCGCTTGAACCCAGGAGGCAGAGGTTTCCGTGAGCCAAGATCTCATCATTGCACTCCAGCCTGGCAACAGAGTGAGACTTGTCTGAAAAATACCCCCATGCTCCTTCTATTCCCTGGATGTTTGCCTATGCTGTCCCCTCTACTGGAATGCCCTTCCCCAGCTCTCCAAATGGGTCTTTCCTCACCACTCAGGACTCAGCTCATGGGAGGCCATGGTGGGAGGATCGCTTGAGGTGAAGAGTCTGGGCAACATGGTGAGATCTCATCTCTACAGAAAATAAGCGAAATTAGCTAGCCAGGTTCACCAGCCTGACCAACATGGTGAAACCATGTCTCTACTAAAAATACAAAAATTAGCCAGGCATGGTGGTGCATAGTCCCAGGTACTTGGGAGGCTGAGGCCACTGTACTCCAGCCTGGGTGACAAAGCAAGAATCCGTCTCTAAATAAATAAGTAAATAAGAGTGTAGTCGTATTGCTGTGTAATAACCATTGCTATTATTGAAAATTTATGGCCAGGCGTGGTAGCTCACCCTGTAATCCTAACAATTTGAGAGGCCAATGTGGGTGGATCACCTGAGGTCAGGAGTTTGAGACCAGCTTGGCCAATACGGTGAAACACCATCTCTACTAAAAATATAAAAATTGAGGTCAGGCGTGGTAGCTCACACCTGTAATCCCAGCACTTTGGGAGGCCGAGGCAGGTGGATTGTTTGAGGTTAGGAGTTCAAGACCAGCCTGACCAACATGGTGAAACCCTGTCTCTACTAAAAATACAAAAAATTAGCCAGGCATGATGGCTAGTGCCTGTAATCCCAGCTACTCAGGAAACTGAGGCAGGAGAATATATATATATATACATACATATACACGCATACATATATATACACACACATGTGTATGTGTGTGTGTATATATAAATTGGCTGGGCGTGTTGGCACATGCCTGTATTCCCAACTACTTGGGAGGCTGGAGAATCACTTGAACCCGGGAGGTGGTAGTTGCAGTGAGCCAAGATCATGCCACTGCATTCCATCCTGGGCACCAGAGTGACACTCTAACTCAAAAAAAAAAAGAAAATTGATTCAACTGCAGGGAGCCCTCACCATGTTCCAGGCAGTGTGGGGTAGGGTCACTAGCCTCCCAACATATAGAAGACGCAAGGCCTAGAGGCGGTGATCTGCTTGCAGAAGGCCACACAGCCAGATCAGCCTCCACTCTCATCACGCACTCACCCACCTCCTTACCCTCTGCACCGCAGGCTCCTTGGCGATCCCACCACCATCCATCCGGCTGGTGCCCCCGTACCCAAGCAGCCAAGAGGATCCCATCCACATCTCATGCATGGCCCCCGGGGACTTCCCGGGAGCGAATTTCACACTGTATCGAGGGGGGCAGGTGGTCCAGCTCCTGCAGGCCCCCGCGAACCAGCGTGGAGTGACGTTCAACCTGAGTGGCGGCAGCAGTGAGGCTCCAGGGGGACCCTTCCACTGCCAGTATGGAGTGATAGGCGAGCACAACCAGCCCCAGCTGTCAGACCTCAGCGAGCCCGTGAACATCTCCTTCCCAGGTAAGGTCCTCCTGTGGGATCTCACTGCCAGGAGCTTCATTTCCTCACACGGACCTCTTGTATGTACTGTTTGCTTGGAGGCCTTCCCAAAAAGAGCCAGGCTTATACCCTGCCAGGACTTACTCGTCTTTCCTTTTCCATATTCTCAGCCAGCCCAAAAGGGCACTGAGCTGAAGTCAGTTAACAAGTCTGACTTCAGGTATGGCTAGATCCAGGTGCTAAAAGCTGTCAAGAACCATTTGCCCCATCTCCACTCCACATTCTTCTCTGTCTTATTGTCAGTCAGTCCATCTCCCTCCTGGTAGCAAAATTGGTGCTGTGATTCTTCCCATTTTGTAGATAAGGAAACTGAGGCACAGGAGGTACACCTTGTACACAGGTAAAAGGTAGCCAATCTGGAATGCCACTGCCTTCCAAAAACCACGAATTATACCTCTGTGATACACATTACTTCCCCTCTTGGCCAAATATTTTTTTTTATTGTTTTTTTTAATGAGACAAGGTTGTCGAAACTAGAGGGTAATGGCAAAAACATAGCTCACTGCATCCTCAAATTCCTGGCCTCAATCGATCCTCTCACCTCAGCCTCCTGAGTAGTTGGGACTGTAGGTGTGTACCATCATGCCCAGGTGATTTTAAAAATTATTTTGGAGATGAGGATCTCAAGATTTTGACCAGGGCCAGACATAGTGGCTTATGCTTATAACCCCAGCACTTTGGGAGGCCAAGGTAGGTGGATCACCTGAGGTCAGGAGTTTGAGACCAGCCTGGCCAACATGGTGAAACCCATCTCTACTAAAAATACAAAAATTAGCCAGGCATGGTGGCATGCATGTGTAATCCCAGCTACTGGGGAGGCTGAGGCAGGAGGATTGTTTCAACCTGGGAGGCAAAGGTTACGGTGAGCCAAGATGGTGCCTCTCCACTCCAGCCTGGGCAACAGAGCAAGACTCTTATCTTAAAGAAAAAGCCTGGGCACGGCGGCTCATGCCTGTAATCCCAGCACTTTGGGAGACTGAGGCGGGCGGATCACAAGGTCAAGAGATTGAGACCATCCTGGCCAACATGGTGAAACCCCGTCTCTACTAAAAAAATTTAAAAATTAGCTGGACGTGGCAGCACGCACCTGTAGTCCCAGCTACTCGGGAGGCTGAGGCAGGAGAATCTTTTTAACTGGGGAGGCAGAAGTTG